TCCAATAAAAAATGTTTTTCAGAGGAATGATTGATATCTCTGCACATTTCTCTCTTTTTCTGAGGTGGTGGTCTTCATACAGGATATTCTGAACTAGAGTTCTAGAAACAACAGAATTAAGGCTATGTTCACTGGTGAGGGAGGTGGTGAGGTCAGAGCCTTGGGGCACTCAGCTCTGTGGGCTTTCTTGTGCAGATTGAGTGTGCCCCCCCCCCCCCCCCGCCCGTCTGGGTATCTTCCCAGGGGGAGGAGTGCTTGGCTCTGAGCCTGCGGGTAGTCGGGTAGGCTTGCTGATCACCACCCTCCCAGGTCATTTAAGAAAGTGAAGCGCCCAGTTTTCTCCTCTCCATGACAGTTTTTGCATTTTGATTTGGGACTGGATGATTTTCAAGTTCTTAAGAACTTAAGAGACTAGGTAGGTGAAGGGTGGAACAAAACTGCCCTGGTTATTTTGGTCTAGCTATAACTAGAAACACGGATAAAGCCAGGTAGAAAATCCTTAAGGTTGGCTTTCGAACCTTTTTTCCTACTTTAACTGCAAGGTAGAAATACTGATATTAAGAAAACAATAAAAATTGGTAAACTTCTTAAAGCCTCGGTTTTGAATACAATTCAAAGGTTAGCATTTAAATTACCTGGTTTATGAACAATGGTCAAGGATTTTTGGAATTAAAGAAGCGGTGCTCTGTGAAGACCTAGATGGGTAGGATTGGGTCAGGGGGAGGGAGGTCCAAGAGGGAGGGGATATATGTATACATATTGGCTGATTCACTTCACTGTGCAGCAGAAACTAACATGACATTGTAAACCAATTGTACTCGAAAAAAAATCACCTGCTGTGATAGTCCCAATGCTCAGAAAAAAACATTGATTTCTCTCAGTGCTTTTCTCCATGTGTCTGCATATAATAGATACTCAAAAGTGAATGTTGACAAATATCAAACTTGTCTAATCTTGAAACTTTCTTCGACCCACAAAAATAGCAATTTCTTTGTGAGAGTTTTAGTCTGTTTCCTAATAGAAAACAAAAACTGATGTGGTGTTTGAATGTGTTTTTCCTTTTTAGGGAATGGCAATGCTCTGTGAAACGATAGAAGAATGTTGGGATCACGATGCAGAAGCCAGGTTATCAGCTGGATGTGTAGGTGAAAGAATTACTCAGATGCAAAGACTAACAAATATCATTACCACAGAGGACATTGTAACAGTGGTCACGATGGTGACAAATGTTGACTTTCCTCCCAAAGAATCTAGTCTATGATGGTTGCACCATGTGTACACACTGAGAAACAGGACTCTGAACTGGAGCTGCTAATGAAACTGCTTACAGTTTATTTTCCGTGTGAAATGAGTAGGATGTCTCCTGGACATCTCAGAAAGAAGACCCTCGTTTCAAAAGGTGGCTCTGGGAGACTTAATGGCATTGCCTGTAGCAGAGACATGAAGGACATGAGACTAAGAGAAAAGTTGCAAACTCTAAAAAGAAACTTTTGAAGAAGTGTACATGAAGAATGTGGCCCTCTCCAAATCAAGGATCTTTTTGGACCTGGCTAATCAAGTGTTTGAAAACTGACATCAGATTTCTTAATGTCTGTCCGAAGACACTAATTCCTTAAATGAACTACTGCTATTTTTTTTTTTAAATCAAAAACTTTTCATTTCAGATTTTAAAAAGGGTAACTTGTTTTTATTGCATTTGCTGTTGTGTTTCTATAAATGACTATTGTAATGCCAATATGACACAGCTTGTGAATGTTTAGTGTGCTGCTGTTCTGTGTACATAAACAAAGTCATCTAAGTGGGGTACAGTAAAGAGGCTTCCAAGCATTACTTTAACCTCCCTCAACAAGGTATACCTCAGTTCCATGGTTGCTAAATTATAAAATTGAAAACACTAACAAAATTTGAATAATAAATTGACCCGTTTTGTAACAAGGTATTACAAATTCACTGTGTTATTTAAGAAAAAAGGTAAGCTATGCTTAGTGCCAACAGTAAGTGGCCATTCGTAAAGCAGTGTTTTAGCTTTTCTTGTGCTAGCTTGTGATTTAAGGAAAAAAAAGTGCTGTTTTTTGAAATGAAAAAATGGTGTCTTTCCCCTCTTTCTCCCATATTTTAAAGCTTCATCTTATATCCAGTTCCCAAAATGTTGCATACTTACCTACATATTTTTCTAGGTGTGCTGTGCTTGGGGACTATTTGAAAATTTAAAGCATGATTTAAATTTTTTAAAGTGAGCTGTAACACTGGAAAGCTCTTCATTTTTATTCTTTTAAAATAGATTTTTTTTTCCTATTTATATATGTAAAGTTGTAGTGTATTTCTTTTCACCAAACAGTGTGTGGGACATTCTTTATCACTGTTTTAGGATCACCTCAGGAAGTGTCATTACCCAGAATTCCTCACTCTCTGCTTCGAGACTTGTAACTTTATCACTATATTTCTGCTTGGTGCCATCTTGTCAGAGTAATATTTGATGTCTGTGATATGTCAAGAATTATCCTAGGATAGAGATTTAAATTTTTAAGCACAGATTTCAGATGTTACTGCTTTAAAACAAATCAGGGATAACAAGTTAAACTTATAACTTAAAATATGCAATGACATTTAGAGGTAACCAATGTTGATATAGGTAACATAGCTTAGCCGCCTCCCACGAATTGCTTTTACAACTAACCCTGATATTAGTTTAGGATAGTTCATGCCTTATCTTTGATAAGAAAATGGAATTGACGGTAGGTAGGTGCCAAAGTGCTTTTCAAAACAATATTACATTAGAATATAATTGGATTCTTTCTCAAATTTATAGGCCAAAGTAAAACATTAATTTCCTGAATTTCTGGATTACTGATGACCAACAAATAGCCAGTATTATGCTATGTACTTTTGTCAGGTCATTTTAAAATCCATACATTAATTTTATAAAAGAATTTTTTACATGTCACTATCAGGAGCTCACTGTGAATGTGTTATCTTCAAATGGCTATTTAACCACACAGTACACTACATTTTACATAAAACATGCACTTAATCTCTGGGAATAATAAATTATATTATTTATAAAGAATACATAGGTCAACAAGACTCCTTTAAGCAGGGAGGGAAAGAAGAATAACAGCATTGTTGTCTGTGTGCCACACACCATACAGAACTTTGTGCTCTTGGTCACATAATGTACCCAAGGCTTTGTTGTATTTCTAAGAAGAATTCCCATTTCAATGTTGAGTTCACCTTTATTTCAAAAAGTACTTGGCTTCTCAATTTCTTGGTTTGGTTTTGCTTCCACTTGGAAACTAATTAAGAAGGGAAAATGATGAGAATGTTCATACATGAGAATTGTTAAATCTCCTGAAGACTAATTTCTACCTGTTGTGAACAATCCTGTTTGTTTTTAAAAGTTAAAAAAAAAAAATCAAATCAAAAGAAAACAAAAGGGAATATTATGATGAATGTTTGGCTTATGTGAATCTTAGAGATAAACTTTATAAGACCACTTATTCACAAAATAAAGTTTTCTCTTCATGTTAGAAAAAATTTTTAGAAATCCTGGGTATTGTACTTAAAACTCTAGCTAACCAATTTTAAAACCTGTATCCTTTTGAGAATTACATTGACAGAAAAATACTTTTTATAAGCAGTAAAATAAGAATGTTCCAGTGACTACCTGTCCTGATACCTAGTCTTGTTAAAACTTTCTTTTGCAGGGCATTTTCATGTTTGGTTTACAGTCAGTGTAAGTGGGCAAGTTAATAAAAACTTTGAGCTTAGGGATACTGAAAAAAAGAAAGATCAAAAAAAAGAAAAATGATTTGTTTTGGGGTACACTGAGACCCCAGTAATTTTTTCCTCATGTGTATGGTGCTCCTTATGATTCGTCTTGTATTTTGCCTTTATGACACCCATCAGAACTGCTGCTCTAATTTATACTCTCTACCTTGCCCAGATCTCCGTGTAAGGAATGCTTTATGATCAACTGCCATAGGACTGATGGATTAACCAGTGTTTGGCTTTATTCGAAGTTTATGCCCTGCACAGCTCCTGTATGTAATTTAGATGCTAGGAAGTTTTTAGCATGTGATGTGTGATTCTTGTTTGAATGTTTATTACAGGTACCTTGTGAATTCCAGAACAGAGACTGTGCCTCACAATTGTTGGTCCCATGAACTTGCACTATCCTTCATGGTGATGTTTCGAAAATACAATCAGGAAAAAAAAAAAGTTTATAACTTAAAAATGAGTCATATATCATGAAACTAAAAAGAATCTGTTCTTCCCCCTTTCCTCACTCCTAGGTAACAGCTACATTTAAGTAAAATGCAGGTGGTAGGGGAGAAATCCTGGCCAGATGATAGTTTAGTGGAATAAACTGATTACTGTTTTAAAAAAATGCTTCACCACGGATATTTTCCAGTTTCTCTTTTTTACCTTTTTAAAATACTACTTTTTAGGAACATTTGGTATAATGTGCATAAAATTATTTACTGATTTATGGGCAAAATGATACAAGTAGCATCTTGATTGAACATCATTTACCTCAGATATTCAACCAGCAGTACATTTTTTATGCAGTCTCAACCCATATCCTATTTGTTACCTCTCAGAATATTGGTAAACAGTTATTTTAGCTTTACTCTGTATTTCTTGTCAGTGTTTTGGGCACAGGTTGTTGTACTACTGTCAAATTGTACTTGCTATTTTTTCTGCAAGTATTTAACAAAAAGTTAAAAAAGAAAAAAAAAAAGTCCCATAAAACCCCACCTTGGGTAAGTGATTGTTAAATATTGTACAAATAAAATGTATGCTATCCCCATTCCATTCCCAAGTTAAATAAAAAAATAAATATGGTATGATTTGCATATGAAGTTTTTCTTTAGTTATACGTTCTTAAAGAGGGGAACAGTAGCTTTATAATTTACAGTGAGGCTTACACCTTGAGATTTGCAAGAATGGGGATAGGTGAAAGGGAGGTTTGTCAGTTGTGGCATTTCCCTCCTTTGTTGTGTAAGCAGATTGTATTCCCACTAAACTACATATGTTGGTCCTGCCAATTTTAAGAGAGGCTAAATGGCCTTAGTTCCCTTGTCTTTTCATACGGAGATTTAAAAAAAGTGGCTTAGGCAATAGACATCAAAGACATAAACTACTCTTCCCAACTATAACTACTTTACCAGTTGAACAGAAGAATTCTGTTATTTTCACTTAGGGTAATCGGTGAGAGAGATCACCAAGGAAGCTAGCATTCATTTACATTTTTAGTGTTGCAAATTCTTTTGTTTATCCTGTGACTTTCGAAGAAAGTGGGGGTGGAAGAGCCCTACCTTGTCACACTGAGCGTCACAGTTCACACGCATGGATTCTCAATTTTGGGGAGGGGGGGTAAAGGTGAAGGAAAGGGCAACAGTTAGGTTATGGTGGTTTGAAAGAACCTGCGTTGTCTTCTAAAACCAAATGAAAATGCAAACCATGGTGGAATCTGCAAGGAATCTCTACAGAAAGACCGAAACTGTTTCCACAGCGTTGTTCTGCAAAACAGATTCTTCAGACAGTTAATAGTATATAATCAACACATATAGCATTATGATGTGGTAAGTTTGGACCAAGAGCTCTTAACTCCTCAGAGTCATTCACATGCATGTCCACAAAATTGGAAAGACTTTTTTTCTTAATAAGATCCTGTTTTTGGTAGGGCACCTGGAGGGAATCACATGAGTGAAAACTGCACTGATGGCGCTAACATTCCTCCTCACCTGGTTTTCAGTCTTTTGATTGTGCTGTTAACAGGCTACATTCCTCCTCTAGTAAATGAAAATATCTTTAAGCCATATTTGTTTACATTATTCTCGAAAGCTTTTTACTAGGGCTTTTTCAGATTTGGTTTTTATTTTATTCATGATGGTTTAAGCAATTTAAGAGATGAAGTTAGTTTAAAAAATTTTAAGTATATTTAGCTTCTCTGTATTAGGGAATGTGGAAAGGGGTACATCAACATTCCTCTGAAAAAAATGCCCTTGAAATGTAGGCATGTGCTTCATTTGTATGACTTCTGCTAACCTACTTTTTCTTGTGTGTTTCATAGCTCTTTCACTGATATTGATGGATGTTCTGTAAGGCAGGTGAGGGCTCTCAAACTTTTAGTGGCATCTTAAGCTGATAAAAATTTGCAATCTTCAAGCCAGTTCTTTGGGTGCTTTTATGGTCAGTGCCTTTAAGCAGAGGGTACTTCTCTAAACAGTTGAGAAGAATTTTTAAAGGGACAATCTTAGCTCAAGTGCAAAATCCTTGCTTCTGGTAATAGTGATGCCACCATGGGAAGTATTTTTTAAAAATATCTCCTAAAAATCTGTAGACTATTGCATAGAACCAGGGTGCAAGCCTTAGCTTTCATAATACACTGCTGAAAAGTAAATGACAGTGATCTGAAAACTTAGAATGCCGGTATACAAAGAACAGGTTGCAACTACTAAAGAGCTATTTTTATGCACAGAAATCTCATATTCCATTCTAAACGCAATACTTCTTAAAAACCACGTAAATAGTTTTTTAGAGTATACTTTTAAAAATACATGGTAAGGAACGCATTACTGAGTTTTGGTGTCAACGAAATGAGTTGAATTCCAGGGTCTGTCAATCCTCTGGACAGGGCCACTACTGTGTTAGTTTTCTCACCTGTAAACAACAGTAACTAAATATCATAAGGTCTTTGACAGTTAAAAGGACTACAAACTGCACAAGGATAGGGAGTCTGTCTTTAGTAAACCTTCCATGAAAATAATAGACAATCAAATATTTTTAAATAAATGAAGTCACTAACACGTAACAAATGCTTACTAAATTTCATTTTAAACATATACCAGCATTAGCTCATGGATTCCTGATGCTTTGCCATCCCCACGTTCCTCCCTCCTAGGGCTCCACATTTTGATACAAGCAGGTTTAGTTAGCATCGTCATACACTTTCCATTATCTGTGGGGGTGGGTTCACAGGATCCCCTAAACTGCCTGTGTCAGAAAGACAAATGCTAGTCCCTAGAACAGGCCCCAGAATCTGCATTTTAAAACATGCTACAAAAGATTCTTCTGTAGATGGTATGAGTACCATATTATAAGAAGCCTGGAAGAAAATGTTCAAACCTTTTGCTTTTTTCTTCCGTGTAAACCATCTTCTAGCCAAACTGATCAGTCTCCTGAACTAGAAGACCTGGGTCTGGGACAGAATCCCAAATTTCCATGAATACAGAAAAACTGCAGCACCTCCCAAAGGACCAAAAGATTACTCATTACACCTCAACTCTTACCATTGTTTCTTTACTGCTTTGTTTAAGGTTTGTAAAAACATCTGGCTGCTGGGTTGAAATGAACTCTTCAAATGTACCACATAAATACTTCACAAGTGTTAAATAAGCATATGATTCAATCCCTAAAATAGTCATATTTATTTTTTTGAACTACCTACAACATAATCTAAATTACTGGAATTATAAATCATGTAACTGCTCGTGTGCCGTGATTCAAAGGCAAGGCACAGCCATGATGCTACATGTGTAACAGTCTCCCATAAATACAAAAATACATTTTTATAAATATAAGAAAATGTAATAACATATCTTGTTGAAGGACAACATTCTTTAGAGAAGTATGCCTGAAACTCCACAACTGAAGCCATGGTTATATTCATAACCAGCTTAGGGAGGATGTTGCCCACTGCCTAACATCTGTAGGACAGTTAGGGTATTTTTGCAAAGCATTCATAATTTGCGTATTATCCAAAAGTAGTTTCATCAGCTGGTACTCCCTCTGTGCATTTACTGATGTTCTTTCCATGGGCCTTATTAATTCTAATTGTTGTAAATGTTCAAAGGCCTGAAAGATGAAAGAAATAGTTTAGGTTGAATAGGGGAAGTAAAGTAAACAACATTAACTCAGAGAACAGTCAGAATTTTGGTCAGTTGTGGAATAGAGTACCAGGAAACAAAACTTAATAGATATCAGTAAAGTTCAAAAACAACTCTCATCAACCTCATAAAAACTTCACACATCACACGAGGCAGTGTCTATATACAGTTATCCGTCCCTGCATCACTGAATATAAACAGGGCAAACTTAATTCAGTTTGTACAACGTGGTTTTTGTTCCTAACCTCATTCTATGTCATATCTCCTCCCAGTATTTAAGTTCACAGTTTCTAGTTCTCTATAAAAACCTAAGATCTGATAAGACCAGGACGTTTTGACTAATTGCCTAGGTTACTCAAATTCGCCTTTACATTTTGTTTCTACCTTTGTAAGACTTTGCTGTGTAAAAGTTTAATACAGCTGTAAAAAGAGAGGGAGGCAGGAAAGACCTGTAGGAGTACACCTGTTCACCTAACCCTATAAATAAATGATTCAGCAGAGTGGTACAGGTATGGAGGAAAAGACAGGCTCCTGTTTCCCTAAGAAGTCTGACAGAGACCACTACAACCCGTCAGAAAGTCCCTTTCTTTCATCTTCCCCACCTTAACAGGGCTCTTTACTGTCTGCTTCCTCTTACCTCTAACATTCATGTATTATGTCTTTTCTAACCACGTTTGTTGTCTTAGGTATTTTATTAATGTATTAAAAAAAACCCATTAAATCATGACCTACTAACCATTAAATACTGAGACACTGAAATAGATTATGAGCTTTCTATTCTTAAGCCTCATTGTGAAAAATACTGTTGGGATATATTCTTTATGTACTATAAAAATTCTTCTGATGAAAAGAGAAACAGTTCAGACACCATTAATTTCTGAAAATGAGAAAATACTAGAGGCTGCAGGTACTGGCTGAATAAAACTGAGGAGATTTAAAGTATTTCTAGGTAGCAAAATACTTTCTTATTTAATTAAAAGGTAGAAATGAGCAGCTTCAAATTACTCATAAAAATTTAAGTGCTCAGCTAAACCTTTCCACTCATACAACTCCCACAAGCTATGACTATCAGACAAATATGGACATTAGGAAGGGAGGAAAAAACCAACCTCCAGTATTCTAAATACTTTTCCTATTGTTTTGAAGAAATGGCAATGCCCTGTTCTCACATTTTTTGGTTGCTGTAAGAAATAAAATTGACTACTAATCCCTTATAAAGGATGCTAAAGAAGTTATGGGTCCACTGCTTAAAAAAAATCAAAAAAGGTGTTTCTTCCCATAAAGTCCTCTAGAGCTGCGCTGTCCAATAGGTAACCACTAGCTACACGGGGCTCTTGAGCATCTGAAATGTGGGACAATATTTTTAATTTTATTTAATTTTTATTAAGTTTAATTAAAAAACTAACACTTAGAAAATTTGTATGTTTGAAACAATTTCATAATGTAAATCTACTTCAGCTAAATAATTTAAGGAATCTAAAAAAAATAATTGAAGGAATCTAAAGAGCAATTATTTCCAATGAATAGTCAGTGAATTAAGATGTGCTTTAAATGTAAACACATAGAATTTCAAAGATTTAACACCAAAGAAAATAAAAAACTTCATTAATAATTTTCTATATTGACTATAGATCAAAAGATTTTGGTACAGTAAATAAAATTTACTGTCCAAGTTAATTTCACCTTTTTTTTTTTTTACTTTTTTGTTGCTACTAGAAAATCTAAAATTACATTATGTGGCTCATATTTCTGGTGGACAATGGTATGCTAGAATAAAGTTCCTCAAGTTTTAAAACTCATGCCTCACCCCTAACAAAACTTTCTCTGTATACCCTCACCAGCCAATGAGATTCTTTTTTGTTTTCTTAATGACCCATTCGGTCTCTTTTTACTGCTGAGATTATAAAGCCAACCTTCGAGGTATAAAGGGATAGGGTTATGACTGTAACGAGTAGATCCTTTGCACGATGCCAGTTCTAGGAAGAGACAGTAGAGGGCAGTATACCCCCAAAACTGTAAAAAGAACTGGCTGCATTCTTCAGAATGATTCAAACATTTCATTTTTAGATTGATTTTTTTGGTCTGTTTTGAATAAAATTCCTATGATAATACCTAATGTTTCAAAATTAATGAAAGTGCAACTATGATATATACAATCAAATCAGATGTAAAAATAAGCCTTTAAAAATTAAAAATCTTACCTTCATGACAACAGGTTTCTCAAAATTATAAACAGAATGGGCCTTCCTTTGAACAAACTTCTGAAACTCTGGACAGAAAGCAATGACAGCATTAGTAGCTTCAAATAAGCAGTGGGGGTAGTAGTGTTAGAAAATACCAATGTCTCATCTCACCATTATAAACCATTTGAAAATTAAAGGGCTCCTCTTCATAGATGTCATTTAAATGTTTCATTGCTATGATAAGACAGATTTCCAAGACTGACAGACCTATAATAAAAGGGGAACAAACTATGAGGTATAGTTTATTTACTGATACATAAGGCTGAAATAACTTTCCTCCAAATAGAAGGATAAAGTGAAAGATTATGGTTTTGAGGGGTGGAGGGAGGTCAAGACACTCCTCTAGGTTCAAATGTGTTTCAGTCACTATTATCTGAATAATCTTAAGAAAGTTACTCAACCTCCCTGAGCTCAGTTTTCATATATGTAAAAGAGGATCTTTCTAAACTTCCAGAGATGGTACAAGGATTCGAGACAATACTATCTAACACTTAACCACATAAACCAGAGCTGCAATTATGATGTAACTTTAAAATTACACAGGGCCCTCGATTATTCAGAATCTCTAATCCCCTGGAAATTATATCTAATTTTTTTATTTCCTGGAGAGGAGAAGGTTCATTAGATTCTCAAAAGGGATAGTGAACCCCAAATGGCTAAAAGCCAGTGCTCTTCATTAGCACTTGGTGCAATGAGAACGCCTGCAATACAGTCTCAGCTGGATTTACAATGTAGCAAGTGAGGCAGTGCCTCGAGTTCCTTTCACTTTAAATGGGAGGAACAATACCTTTTAAAGGGCTGAGTTAAAGGACGTATGGATATAAAAGTATTCTGTATATAAAATACTATACCCAATGTTAATTATAATTTTGAAAATCATACCATTATATAAACTCAAACATTTAAAAAACTACTAATTAAGCAGGTTTCTCACCATGTACAATATTTGCTTTAGAGTCCATGCTACACAGCTGGTTTGCCTCCATCAGATCTGCTGCAGTCATAAATGGGTGTGATGGTGTTACACGATTTAAAGCAAGCATCTAAGGAAATGCAGATCAGAAAAACAACTGCATATTTACTTAGGCACTTTGGAGATATTACTGAACAAATCTTCTTAATTCAGAGAGTTATGAAAGAGTAAACAGTAATGCCTGGGAAAGGTATTCTCATATTTAGCTCTATTAAAATACAGTATTTCAGTTCATATGTCATGTAACTGTATAAATGTAAAGCATTAAAAAATTCTTGCTGCTCTCTCTACCCCTTTCCATTTGCATATCTTGTTTGTTTACAACTCCTCAAAAGAAAAATACTTTAGAAGGAGTAGGGTGAGGAGAAGAGACCAAAAATAAGTAAGACTACTATTTAAAGCCCCAGACTAAACCAAACCAAAAAGGCAGAAGTGTGACTTGTAAAAACTTTCTTACCACCCAATCGACCAATCCAGGTTATTAGTCTTAAGTGATAGAGGTGAGCTACTTTATATTCAATTGTAGTAAAAATAAAAAAACAAAAACAAAATTATACCAAGAAACAACTCTCCCTGAAAGCAAGGACAAGTTGCCTCCATGTAGCAAGTTCTCTGTCCAACGACTAACAAAAACGTCTGCATTTGAAGATTTATTTATTTGTAACTTTCCTAACATCTAAATTTTAATTAATTTTTTAAAAATTTATTTTTCATTGAAATATAATTGACTCAGCATTTAAATTTAGTCATATAAGTAGGGTGAGCAGGTAAAAATGCATGACATCTCATTAAATTTGAATTCCAGGTAAACAATGAGTAATTTCTTAGTGTAAGTATATGCCACGTAGTATTTGGGACATTAACACTAGAAGCTCCCTTTTTTTTAAAAAAAAAAATTATTTTATTGAAGCATAGTTGATTTACAACGTTGTGTTAATTTCTACTGTATAGCAAAGTGATTCAGTTATACATATATATATACACTCTTTTTCACTATGGTTTAATCACAGGATATTGAATATAGTTCCCTGTGCTATACAGTGGGAACTTCTTGTTTATCCATTCTACCTATATTTTGCATCTGCTAATCCCATACTGCCAATCCATCCCTCCACCACCCCACTCTCACCCTTGGCAGCCACAAGTCTATTCTCTATGTCTGTGAGTCTGTCTCTGCTTCGTAGATAAGTTCATTTGTGTCGTATTTTAGATTCCACATATAACTGATAGTATATGGTATTTGTCTTTCTCTTTCTGACTTACTTCAGTTAGTATGATGATCTCTAGGTCCATCCATGTTGTTGCAAATGGCATTATTTCATTCTTTTTTTAATGGCTGAGTAGTATTCCACTGTATATATGTGTACCACATCTTCATTATCCATTCATCTATCGATAGACATTTAGGTTGTTTCCATGTCTTGGCTATTGTGAATAGTGCTGCTATGAACATATGGTTGCATGTATCTTTTTGAATTATAGGTTTGTGCAAATATATGCCCAGGAGTGGGATTACTGGATCACATGGCAAATCTATTTTTAGTTTTTTGAAGAACCTCCATACTGTTTTCCATAGCAGCTGCACGAATTCACATTCCCACCAACATAGTTGCTGCACAAATTTACATTCCACACTCTCTCCAGCATTTGTTATTTGTAGACCTTTTAATGATGGCCATTCTGACCAGTGTGAGGCAGTACCTCATTGTAGTTTTGATTTGCATTTCTCTAATAATTAGCAATGTTGAACATCTTTTCATGTGCCCGTTACCATCTGTATGCCTTCTTTGGAGAAGTATCTATTTAGGCCTACTGCCTATTTTTCGATTGGGTTTTTAAATTGTTGTTATTATTAAGTTGTATGATCTGTTCGTATATTTTGGAAATTAAGCCCTTGTCTGTCACATCATTTGCAAATATTTTCTCCTAGTCCTTAGGTTGTCTTTTTGCTTTGTTTATGATTTCCTTTGCTGTACAAAAGCCTGTAAGTTTGATTAGGTCCCATTTGTTTATTTTTCCTTTTATTTCTATTGCCTTGAACTCTCTCCCTTTTTTAACCAGGGCCCAGGGTCTTTAACTGAACAAAAAAGTTTGGTAATCCTTGTCCTTCATTCCCCATACTGGGAGGGATCCAGGTACCCAGTAGCTCCTTCCCTTTCTCTTACCTTTTCTTTTTCCTTTTATTATAAAATATTTTTGACATATAAAAAGGCAAGAGAATAATATAATGAATATCCATGACCACTTTCTCAGCTTACAAAATATAAACTTACAGAGTTGAAGCTCCTGTCTCTTGCCCTGGTTGGACTCTCTACTCTTCTCCATGTAAAAAAATCATGCAAGTCTTCATCCTTCTACTACATATCTTTGTATTCCTAGACAATATAGAGTAGTTTTCAACTTTTATATAAATACCATATTGTACTTAATGCTACTCTTTCTTCACTAAACATCTGTCATGAGAATTCATCTATGTCCAGATGTCAATTGTGGTTTATTCTTTTTTTTGTTATATTCCTTTGTATATATGCACAATTTAATTATTCTTTCCCTTACTGATGGGTATCTGTCATTTTGGGGGAGGGACTATAAACAAGGCTGCAATAAACAATCTTGTACATGCCTTCTTGTGTATTTGAGTCTCTCTAGATACCTAATTTTCCATATTGCTCTCCAAAGTATCTATACATATTTACACTGCTAGCAGCAATAAACGTAACAGTCACCATATCATCAGACATAAACTTTTGTTGTTGTTATTGTTGCGGTACGCGGGCCTCTCACTGTTGTGGCCTCTCCCGTTGCGGAGCACAGGCTCCAGACGCGCGGGCTCAACGGCGATGGCTCATGGGCCCAGCCGCTCTGCGGTAGGTGGGATCCTCCCGGACCGGGGCACGAACCTGTGTCCCCTGCATCGGCGGGCGGACTCTCAACCACTGCACCACCAGGGAAGCCCCAGACATAAAACTTTTGACACCCACCAGATTGGCAGAAAAAAGGGTTTAACTGTAAAGTTTAAATTGTACCATTTCCCTAATTACTGGAGAGGTTAAATATCTTTGCAATTTTTAAGTCATGTGGGATTCTACAATGGTGGATTGCTTGCACTCATATTCTTAGTTCTTTCCTTTATTTTTCATTATTATTATTTTTTTTATGGACAGGATGCAAAAACTTGGGCTCTGTGCACAGATGCTGAATTGTATCTCAGAGACAGAGTTCTGGATGAAGTAGAAAAGAATAGCTTTATTGCTTTGCCAGGCAAAGGGGGAGACAGCAGACTCCTGCCCTTGAAAACTGTGGGTCCCAACCTGGGAGGATTTAGTGAGGAGTTTTATAACAATGGTTCAAGGCCAGGGTTGCTGATAAGGATCAGGGTGTATGCAGGGCCTGCACTCCTTTAAACTGGCCTCAGGTGGTCTTTTATATTTAATTTTTAAATTTTATTTTTTTTATATTGCAGGTTCTTATTAGTCATCAGTTTTATACACATCAGTGTATACATGACAATCCCAATCACCCAATTCAGCACACCACCATCCTCACCCCACCGCGGTTTTCCCCCCTTGGTGTCCATACGTTTGTTCTCTACATCTGTGTCTCAACTTCTGCCCTGCAAACCGGTTCATCTGTACCATTTTTCTAGGTTCCAATATATGCATTAATATATGATATTTGTTTTTCTTTTTCTGACTTACTTCACTCTCTATGACAGTCTCTAGATCCATCCACATCTCAACAAATGACCCAATTTCGTTCCTTTTTATGGCTGAGTAATATTCCATTGCATATATGTACCACATCCTCTTTAACCATTCGTCTGTCGAGGGGCATTTAGGTTGCTTCCATGACCTGGCTATTGTAAATAGTGCTGCAATGAACATTGGGGTGCATGTGTCTTTTTGGATTATGGTTTTCTCTGGGTATATGCCCAGTAGTGGGATTGCTGGATCATATGGTAGTTCTAGTTTTAGTTTTTAAGGAACCTCCACACTGTTCTCCATAGTGGCTGTATCAATTTACATTCCCACCAACAGTGCAAGAGGGTTCCCTTTCTCCACACCCTCTCCAGCATTTGCTGTTTGTAGATTTTCTGAGGATGCCTATTCTAACTGGTGTGAGGTGATACCTCATTGTAGTTTTGATTTGCATTTCTCTAATAATTAGTGAGGTTGAGCAAATTTTCATGTGCTTCTTGGCCATCTGTATGTCTTCTTTGGAGAAATGTCTATTTAGGTCTTTTGCCCATTTTTGGATTGGGTTGTTTTTTTTACTACTGAGCTGTTTATACATTTTGGAGATTAATCCTTTGTCTGCTGATTCATTTGCAAATATTTTCTCCCATTCAGAGGGTCGTCTTTTCATCTTGTTTATGGTTTCCTTTGCTGTGCAAAAGCTTTGAAGTTTCATTAGGTCCCATTTCTTTATTTTTGTTTTTATTTCCATTACTCTAGGAGGTGGATCAAAAAAGATCTTGCTGTGATTTCTGTCAGAGTGTTCTTCCTATGTTTTCCTCTAAGAATTTTATAGTGTCTGGTCTTACATTTAGGTCTCTAATCCATTTTGAGTTTATTTTTGTGCATGGTGTTAGGGAGTGCTCTAATTTCATTCTTTTACATGTAGCTGTCCAGTTTTCCCAGCACCACTTATGAAGAGACTCTCTTTCCTCCATTGTATATCTTTGACTCCTTTGTCATAGATTAGTTGACCATAGGTGCGTGGGTTTATCTCTGGGCTTTCTATCTTGTTCCATTGATTTATGTTTCTGTTTTTGTGCCAGTACCGTATCGTCTTGATTACTGTAGCTTCGTAGTACAGTCTGAACTCAGGGAGTCTGATTCCTCCAGCTCTGTTTTGTGCCCTCAAGACTGCTTTAGCTATTCAGGGTCTGTTGTGTCTCCATTCAAATTTTAAGATTTTTTGTTCTAGTTCTGTAAAAAATGCCATTGGTAATTTGGTAGGGATTGCATTGAATCTGTAGATTGCTTTGGGTAGTATAGTCATTTTCACAATATTGATTCTTCCGTCCAAGAACATGGTATATCTCTCCATCTGTTGGTATCATCTTTA